CAGCCTGGGAAGATTCTTGCTGGAGGTTGTAGCTAATAAACATAGCTGGACTGAATTGGCATGGTCTCTTGGAGTTCCTTGGGCTAGGCCTGACAAGGATGGAGCATCGTCGTATGTTTTGATATAGCCTTAGTATTAACAATGTGCTAACATACCAAATATATATATATATATATATATAGAGAGAGAGAGAGAGAGAGAGAGTGAGAGTGAGAGAGAGAGAGAGAATCATGTCAGTTCTGCTAACAGGGAGGGAATTTGCTTATTATTACCAAAATCCTTAGGACACACAAACTCGTATTTCTTTTCATACATTGCCTTAAACAGGGGAGGTAAAACTCACCCAGTCCTCTGAACTTCCTTCGATTTTTTAGCTTGCTTCACCTCTTGAATCAAGGGCAACAACAAATTCTGGGGCTTTTGAATGGACATCGGTTGCACCCCAAGTTCCAGTATTCAAAATCCAGGGAGGCTGGTGCCAGAATCAGCGGCATTCCCCTTCTAACTGCCACTTTTTTCTAGAATATGTGCTGAATTTCCAGGGTCCAAGATTCTGTTCAGAGGTTTCAGGCGGTGCGAACTTTTCTGCATGGACCTCACACTGCTCTGCTTTGCAGGCTGGAAGTGGCATTGTGCTTCCATGTTACAAGGATAATATATTGGTTTCCATGTTACAGGGATAATATATTCCTCCCGGAGAATGTCTCTTTGCCTTCTCTCCGCACCCATAGAAGTAACTGCTTTCTGGCTGAATTCACAGAGCCTTCATTTCCAAAAGCTGTTTTCCCTGGAGCGGTCTTTTAAAATAATTATTTAATTAGCAATAAAGTAAACATATTACTTATTCTTTCTAAGTATTGTTGCCCGGTGGAAGGATCAAAACCCCACGTTTGTTTCAGGATACAAACGTAGATCCAAAATGTTGGACCTTAAAGCAGCCACTGGCGTTTAAAATTTTAGGTCCTGCAAATATGGAGATAATCTGGATGGGAAACGGGAAAATGGTGATTCAGTCCTGGGAAAGTGGAAAGGGTGAAAAAGAAACTCAAAGTAACCCCGTTTCTAGTCTGCTTGGTATAAAGATGTGGCAGGGAGAAACTCTGGCAAGTCTTCAAGATTTTGTTATCATACCCTAGGACAGTGTTTCTCAACCTTGGCAACTTTAAGATGAGTGGACTTCAACTCCCAGAATT